ATAATTTTGTCTTAATCTGAACTGGACTTGGCAATTTTGTGTACTAAACATCAATGTCTTTTAAGATGTCAGAATTCAAAATCAACATAAAATGTGTTGCATCCAATTTATATTCTATGTTGTTTTCTGAGTTTTTATTTTCTCTTTTTACTGTTTGTGTACATTTGTGTTTGACAGATGTAAGGTTTTGCATTTTATAAGTAATGCACTGGCCACTTACCACACTTAATACTTGTCATCATTTCTTCGGAGAATAAAGGTTTACAACTAAGTTGTAGTTTTACCAGAAATGGACGCTTTAGCTTATTATATCCCTAACAGTAACAGTAGTTGTTTTATAAAGTGTTTTCTGGACAGTTTTAATAAAATTAAAAAAACCTAATTAAACAATTATAGCATATTTCTATGCCTACACAGTCTGAGAATTAAAAACAAAAACAACCAAACTCTATCCTTTCTCCTTTTGTCTTTTGAAATCAGTATTATTATTTTTCATTCATGCATTTTATCTAATAAATGCTTATTGAATATGTTTGTATATGCAGATGCTATGTCCTTAGAGATTATAAATATAAATGAAGCTTGATGCCATGTTATACTATACTCATATCCATAAGTGTATTAAGGCTTAAGTAAATTACCGAGTGACACATAGGAGTGATGCCTAGTGCTCTCACAAAAGGATGAATATTTGGGAGAGATATCCAAGGATTTTCTCAGATAGAGTTTATCCCTCAAAACAAGGGGGCAGTAATTTTAAGTAGGTTTGGAACTGAGGATACTACTGGTCAATTATTAGTATATAGGACATGTCTATGCTAAAGGTAGCGAGGTAATGAGTTAAGGAGCCATACATTTTTAGTTCCCCTTTTCAGCTTCCCGAGTGTTTGCATGTCATGGTCTAACATACAGAAGAAGGATCATGTGGTTGTGAATGTCAGGTGAACTGCCATAGGGTAGAAAAAATGTTGAATCTATGTGTCAAGTCATCTTTCATTCCTGAATGAGACAAGAAAAAGAAACAGCCTTGGAATACTCATTCCATAATAATGGTAATAAGCTCATATTGACACTACACTTTGGCATAAAACTTAGATATGTTGAAAATTATGTCTTACATGTGGGCAATTCCTTTACAAATTCCTTGGACAATTAGAAATTTAAATATGTAAATCAGCAAGTCATTTGTAAAGCTCTAAATATCTGGGAAAGATATGCACACAATCACCCGACTGTGTGATTTTATAAAATTCATAATGTATTTACTGGCTGGTTTCCCACTCACCTTGATTCAGGGTACTTTAGTGCCTCTTCCTTCTGAAGAAGCATCCTTCCATCAGCCATGCTTTTTCTCCTGTAGGCTGATAGAGGACAGCGGAGCAGTCAACACACAATACCACTGATTGTAAAGTACTAATGAAGGTGGTGATTTTATAACATCCTGGGCATTTAGATGAGTGAGATGAAGGGGATCCTTAGCCAGAGGTATGTTGTCATAGGGAGGTAGTCACTGCCAGAAAGGGTGAACATAGATCTTTGTAAAAGAAAATTACGACACCTTAAAATAATGCAGTTGAGTAGGACGTTGTGTAATAATGGAGATGTTTTATATCTGCACTGTCCAACTGAGTGGGCACTCAGTTTACATGTAGCTATGAGAACTTTAAATGTGGCTAGTGAAACTGAGGAAATCTTTTTAGATTTTACCTACTTTTAATTAATTAAAATTTAAATACTTGTGGCTAATCGCTATTGTATTGGACAGAACAGTCATTGAAGACAGAAGAGCAATAGGGACATTATCCATTATCTGACATGTATATCTTATTATCAGCCTTCAAATTTGAAAAACCTATTTTTTTAAGATTACTGTCCCTTCACATAAAATAATTAAAAGGCAGTTAACATGCTACTCATGGATTTTTCAACTGACATAAACTTGCCTTCATTTGCTTAGGAAAGCAAAGGTCAGTTAAAAATTTAGGTAAATGTTTAAGAACTAAATATAAATATACAAAAACAAAATACACAAACATAAATACATAAAATTTAAAATTAAAACTAGCATATTCTTTTTCCCAGATATAGTATAGTCATAAATTAGACAATTGGGTCTAAAAATCAAAAACTTATAATTTTCTTGTTCTTTTTATATTATATTACATATTCTAGTTTCCTCTTATATAACCTATGAAAATACTTTATAATATCTACTGGAGGACTGATGCACAAAAATTTGTGCACTCAGTTAGTGGGGTCCCTCAGCCCGGCCTGTGCCCTCTCGCAGTCTGGGGCCTCTCTGAGAATGTCCATCTGCTGGCTTAGGCTGGCTCCCTGGGGGATCAGGCCTAAGCTGGCAGTAAGACATCGCTCTGGCAGCCCGGGAGCCCTCGGGGGATGTCCACTTGCCAGTGGGGAGCAGGCCTAAGCTGCAGTCAGACATCCTTAGCACTGCTGAGGGGGCGGGAGCGGCTCCAGCCATTGCTGCTGTGCTGGCAGACATCAGCCTGGCTTGTGGCTGAGCAGAGCTCCCCCCTGTGGGAGTGCACTGACCACCAGGGGGCATCTCCTGCATTGATCATCTGCCCCCTGGTGGTCAGTGTGTGTCATAGTGACCAGTCATTCCCAGTCGTTCTGCTGTTAGGGTCAATTTGCATATTACCCTTTTATTACATTGGATAGAGGCCTGGTGCACGGGTGAGGCCCAGCTGGTTTGCCCTGAAGGGTGTCCTGGATCAGGATGGGGGTCCCCACTAGGGTGCCTGGCCAGCCTGGGTGAGGGGATGATGGCTGTTTTCAGGCTGGCCAAGCCCCCCAGGAGGGACCCTCACCTATGGAGGTGTGACCAGCCTGGGTGAGGTGCTGAGGGCCGTTTTCAGGCTGGCTACAGCCCCTTCAGGGTGGGGGGGCCCTACTGGAGTGTCTGGCTCACCTGGGTGAGGGGATGAGGGCTGTTTGCAGGCTGCCCACAGCCCCTTCACGGTGGGGGTCCCCCCCCTGCAGTGCTGGGTCAGCCTGGGTGAGGGGCTGATGGCCGTTTTCAGGCTGGCTATGTCTGCACGCTGGAAGCATGTATCTGGGGTTTATTTACCTTTTATAATTGAAACTTTGTAGCCTTGAGCAAAGCTCAGGGCTGGCAGGACAGGCGGGAAGTTTGGCTTCCTCCATCACCTGGGGCAACCCAAGCCTCCTGCTTGCTCTAGCTCTGTGGCCGCTGCCATCTTAGTTGGGTTAATTTGCATAACCACTCCTGATTGGCTTGTGGGCATGGCTTGTGGGTCTAGTGGAGGCATGGTCAATTTGCATGTTTCTCTTTTATTAGATTTGATTTATAGCCCTTATTAAAATGTAATTATTTTCTTAATTAATATAAACCTGTTAATATCAAGACCATAATTAAATACTTAGACTGTCATTTTTTTTCTCATCTTAGCTAGCATTTAATTTCCATTACATTAGTAAAATGTGTTTACACACTCCACATCACCAATGCCTAGAAGAATGCTGTGACCATTTTTGTCACTCAGTATTGGCATGCCAAGAAGTAACATGGATTTTTGTAAATTAAATTAAAATTTATTTTTCCTACCCGTAAATGAGACATTCTGTATTTGAACTTTTCTAAAAACCCTTTGAAATGTCATTGCAATCATAAAATGATCATTAATCACTAATTCATTTAGATCAAATTTTAATGGTAAATATATTTATCTATATTTAATGTCATTGTCCTAAAAATACACAGTTGACAGATAGGTTTCAGTTTGCTAATTTTTTCACAAACTAAGTGAATATGACATAGCATATGTTTCTCTCGCTATATATTTTATTCAAAGAAAATGCAAATTGTTTATTGGCTTATGTGAATAAAATATTAATAGGGTGTTCATTTCAGCTGTGTAAAATAAAACAAGATAACAAATACTCATGGATTGCTTCATATGATCTTGCCAGGTGACTAAAGGGTACTTACTCAGTAGTATTCTTTAGTCAGCTAGTGAGATCACTATTTGTGCAGGGCTTAGCGTATTGTAAGTCAGAGGGGACTTTTAAAATTTTTTGTTTTATTTTGATAAATTGGACTTTATCAACATTAAGGTACTTGACTATTTAAAAGACTTGTTGAGAGTAAGAGACCTTTTGTGTACGGATAAGCAGTAGCACTGGAGAGAGCCCATGCATACTGATTATGTATTTTACAATTTTAATTGATTGAATTTCCTTGGATTATTCAAACACCAGAGACTGTACTTTAAACATTCCCATAATCTGACTTCATGTGATGAAAATAATATAGGTGCTGTTTCAAATTTGACATTTTGGCATGTAACTTCATTCCACTGTGCTTACTCATTTAAAAAAAAAAAAGTGTTTTTAATCTCCAAAAAAATTTTACTTTTATGAATTGTTCTTATAGAAAAAAGATGAAATTCTTTGTATTTTACACAAGGTTATATTCTTATCAGAGTTTCATTTTCTCACCTCAGCAAAGGTTTTGGTATATTTTTTAGATGTAATATATGTGCTACTGCCTTGGACAAATATTTCATATTCTATCATAACTTATCATGGTGAAAAGCCATCGGTACAATTGAAATCTACAATAAAATATTTTATTTATATGGAGTAACTGTGGTTAATTCACTTATAACTTCATTTACCATGTGAAACATAGTGACAATTCTTTTTAAATATTCTACATACTTCTTCCTTTTGAAACTTTAATAGTTCACTTGAGTTACATTCATTATTATAAAATGCTACAACTTTAAAAACCCTCAGGACATTTTCTAGCAGAACTCTTTAATTTTAAAAATGCCTAGAGATGTTAAGCGACTTGCTTATGATCATAATATTAGTTATAGGCAGAGTTGGGACTTAGAATTCAAGTTTTCTGGCATCTATTTCTGAGCTAATCCTATATCATGTGGCTTTGAGAATTTGAAAATTGGTCTATTACATAATAACGTAAGTTAAATGTTTCATTCTATATTTTCCAGGGTCAAAATGTTTTTGGGCTCGATGTCATTGAAACGCCAGAAGGAGACAAGATGCCACAACTGATTGTTCAGAAGGAGTTAGATAGGGAAGAGAAGGATACATATGTAATGAAAGTAAAGGTTGAAGATGGTGGCTTTCCTCAAAAATCCAGTACTGCCATTTTGCAAATAAGTATTGCTGATATAAATGATAACCATCCAGTTTTTACGGAGAGTGAAATTGAAGTCAGTATACCAGAAAATGCTCCTGTAGGTACTTCAGTGACACAGCTCCATGCCACAGATGCCGACATAGGTGAAAATGCCAAAATTCACTTCTATTTCAGCAATCTAGTTTCCAACATAGCCAAGAGGCTATTTCACCTCAACTCCTCCACCGGACTTATCACAATCAAAGAACCACTGGATAGGGAAGAATCACCAAACCACAAGTTACTGGTTTTGGCAAGTGATGGTGGGTTGATGCCAGCAAGAGCAATGGTGCTAGTAAATGTTACAGATATCAATGATAATGTCCCATCAATCGATATAAGATACATCATCAATCCAATCAATGGCACTGTGGTTCTTTCAGAAAATGCTTCACTCAACACCAAAATTGCTCTCATAACTGTGACAGATAAAGATGCTGACCATAATGGTAGGGTGACATGCTTTACAGATCATGATGTCCCTTTCCGATTAAGGCCAGTATTTAGTAATCAGTTCCTCCTGGAGACGGCTGCATTTCTTGACTATGAGTCCACCAAAGAATATGCCATTAAATTACTGGCCGCAGATGCTGGCAAACCTCCATTGAATCAGTCATCCATGCTCCTTATCAAAATAAAAGATGAAAATGACAATGCTCCCGTTTTTACCCAGTCTTTCATAAGTACTTCTGTTCCTGAGAATAACTCTCCTGGCTCCCAGTTGACAAAAATAAGTGCGACGGATGCAGACACTGGACGTAATGCTGAAATCACTTACCTGTTAGGCGATGATGCTCCATCTGAATTCAACCTGGATCAGCGTACAGGCATTCTGACTGCAATGAAGAAACTGGATAGAGAAAAACAGGAAAAGTATTACTTTACAGTTCTGGCAAAAGATAACGGGATCCCACCCTTAATAACTAATGTCACAGTCTTAGTGACAGTTCTTGATCAAAATGACAACAGTCCAATTTTCACACACAATGAATACAATTTCTATGTCCCAGAAAACCTTTCTAGACATGGCACAGTAGGACTAATCACTGTAACTGATCCTGATTATGGAGAAAATTCTGCAGTTACTCTCTCCATTTTAGATGTGAATGATGACTTCACTATTGATTCACAGACTGGTGTCATTCGACCAAATATTTCATTTGACAGAGAAAAACAAGAGTCTTATACTTTCTATGTACAGGCTGAGGATGGTGGTAGGGTATCACGTTCTTCAACTGCCAAAGTGACCATAAATGTGGTTGATGTCAATGACAACAAGCCAGTTTTTCTTGTCCCTTCTTCCAACTACTCCTATGAATTGGTTCTACCATCCACTGATCCGGGCACAGTGGTCTTCACAGTAGTTGCTATTGACAATGACACTGGCATGAATGCAGAGCTTCAGTACAGCATTGTAGGAGGAAACACAAGAGGTCTGTTTATAATCAACCAAACAACAGGCAACATTACAATGAAGGAGAAATGTGTTTTAGCAGACCTTGGTTTACACAGACTGGTAGTCCAAGCTAACGACTTAGGGCAACCTGATTCTCTCTTCAGTGTTGTAAGAGTTAATCTATTTGTGAATGAGTCAGTAACTAATGCTACACTGATTCATGAATTGGTGCACAGAAACACTGAAACATCAGTAACCCAAAATATTGAGACAACTGATGCATCCTCCCCAACCACTGACTATGTCAAGATCATGGTTGCCATTGTTGCTGGCACCATAACTGTCATCCTTGTTATTTTCATCACTGCTGTCATAAGATGCTGCCAATCACCACACCTTAAGGCTGCTCAGAAAAACAAGCAGAATTCTGAATGGGTTACTCCAAACCCAGAAAATCGGCAGATGATAATGATGAAAAAAAAGAAGAAGAAGAAGAAGAAGAAGAAGCATGCCCCTAAGAACTTGCTGCTTAACTTTGTCACTATTGAGGAAACTAAGGCAGATGATGCTGACAATGATGGAAAGAGCATCACACTAGACCTTCCCATTGAGCTGGAAGAGCAAACCATGTGCAAGTACAACTGGGGCACTACACCTACTACTTTCAAGCCTGACAGCCCTGATTTGGCCAGGCACTACAAATCTGCATCCCCACAGCCTGCTTTCCAGATCCAACCGGAAACTCCCCTGAATTCAAAGCACCACATCATCCAGGAACTGCCTCTTGATAATACCTTTGTGGCCTGTGATTCCATCTCCAAATGTTCCTCCAGCAGTTCTGATCCCTACAGTGTTTCTGAGTACAGCTATCCGGTGACAACTTTCAAGACCCCTGTGTCTGTACACACCAGATTGGTAGGTATTCACAGTTTCTAACTAACTTTTCTAATTTTATTTTGTTTTGTTTTTTAATTATTTTAAGTTGCAGTAGAATTTTACAATATCTATTAACTCAAAAAATGATCAAAACAATCATACTCTGCAGAAGTATTTAAATAGATATATGGATTAATTTTAAGTTTGGTAGAAAATGAGAACAAATAACTCTTTTTTAAAAAAAATCTTCACCCCAGGATAAATTTTCCATTGATCTTTAAAGAGGGGGTAAAGAGAAAGGAGGCAGGATGGGGGAGAGAGGAAGAGGAACATCAATGTAAAAGAAACACATCATCTGAATGCCTCCTGCATGATCCCCAACCAGGAGCCAGGGATCCAGCCTACAACCAGGGTGCATGCCCTTCACCAGGAAATGAACTCATGACCCTTTGGTCCATGGACTAACACTCTAACCACTAAGAAAAACTGGTCAGGGCCTAATAACTCTTGATTGTAGAAAAACTTGGTCTGAACCATGATTATAATAGGGCCAAGGTTGTCTGTAGATGTCAGTATAGCACATCTTGCTATAGAATATACTGGAAAAACTCTAAAATAAAGGGGTCCTGGCACTGTCCTCAGTACCATTGTGTGCATGAGCATCAGAACAGTTGAGGCCAGACCCATCACACTAAAGCTGTTTATAATCTAATAAGTAGGTGTTAAAGGTGTTGAGAATCCCAGCTCCACTTGAGAAAATCTGTGTGTACTCAAAACATTCAAATAACATCAAGACATCTTTCCTACCCACAATGTCCCTAAGCCCATACAATGAAAACAGAGTATCATTTTCACATTAAGTATTTACCATTATTCTGGTCCAGAAAATCTATATTCAAACAATGTAATGAGGATGGGATTAGAAAAATGAAGTCTTGTTACTCAGTCTCATCTTCAAGCCAGAGAATGAAATATACATAAGCTCTCTATTTTAGATATTCATTTAAGTATTTCCATATTTATACAATACATTGAGAGTCCTTCAGGATACATTCCTGAAAGATAATGGCTTTTGGAAAATGAAATATGTTTTCTTTCTCTAATGGACAAGAAAGTAAATAAAGGCATAGTAAGACCCAAGAAATCTTTAAATAATAATTTAAAACCCAAAAATAAATTTATGAAAATAATGTATACAATGTTTTTTATCTTATCCCATGGAGAAGAAAAATGAATAAAAATTTATCCATAAATTCATAATTAAATTAAATTATATTTAAATGTGGTTATTTCCTTAATATAGTGATGTACTTTATCTATTTTTATTTTTCTCAAAGTCATGCTACATGTTGACTTCATTATTTTGTTTTTGTTACTCTTAAAAGTCATCATCTCAGTTTCAGTGAATGAAAGTTTTTGAAACCTATTCAGGGTTAATAAAATAATAGTGATGTGAAAGTGAATATAAGAGTCTTCTCAACAAGGTTAGAAATAATAAAGAAGTCTATTAGGATTCAAAATAACAATGGATCTACCATATTTTAAGAAATTATTTTAAGAATCATGCTCATTCAAGGATAGGTATGGTTTAATTATAGCATAACATGATTTTTCTCTCTTGAGCACACAGTAAAGGATGTGTATGTTGTTACTATAGGTCCATAGTTATACTATTGCAGATGATAAAACAGAACCCTTAGTCACTTTGTGGAAAGTTTCTGTTATGTCTTAAATGAGTTTACAGGGCAGTAGTTATTTCTCTGATATGAATGGGCCCCATTTTTTTCTAATTCAGTGGATCTTAGATGGGTTACAAACACAATAAATGCCTAACATCTTGGGATGTGTTTTTGTTAATACTTAACAATTGAAAATGGCACTCTTATTTTCTGATTAATTTTGGTTATTATTCTGTTCATTGGAAGCATTTCTCAATAGGAAAACATCCTTTATGCATAACACTTTATATGTATTTTGTATCCTAATAGCACTTTTCCTTGGACTAAATTTATGACTCACTTAAAAGTGTATAAGAAAGGTAATGTTTGTGCATTACATTTGGATATCACCATTTTTAACAGATTGGTTAATGTAGTTTGTTAAAAGAGTAAATTCTGATTTCAACTGTTTTGGAAAGCATGGAGATGTTTTATGAGATAGATTTATTTTACTTGAGAATATACAGTAAGCAAGGCATGGATGAAAGGAAAAAATTAAAGTGTTTTCCAAATATCCTCTATACTTATTGTTGGCATGTGGTAATTTTTTATAAGTAGTAAAATTAATAACGTTATCCATGATGACATTTTATTTTATTTAGCTAAGAGATGTTTTCCTAGACACAGGACAAATACATTAATGAGATAGGCAAAATAAGTAAAGTAAACGTTAATGAGAATAAATTTTTGGTTATTGTTGGGTTTTTATTAGCTAAAAAGACTATCTTAGAATCAATGAGTTCTTAGATGACTTATTCTATTTTTTCAAATCTTAAAAATAAGTAAATTGTATATTTTATGTATTTCATTCACAGTTGTTTCATATTAATTACTAAATATTTTCTGGACATGAATTGGAGAATTTCGGCAGATTAAAATGATATTAAACATAATGTGATTCCTTTATTTTGTGCTGCATTTGCAATATTCTTCAGCCTATGTATATAGTCTTTAATTTCTGATTAATTCCAGGATAGCCACCTTATATTCACTGATGTTGCAGAATGCTTAGAAGCTAAGTGAGCACTGAAAAAAAAAAACTAGTGTATATAAAAATTCAAATGCAGTAGGTGTCTTCTTCTTAAATAAAAATCATACAAAATGGGGGAAAGTGTCAGCCAATAAAATAAAAATGCATTATTCCTTAAGGAAACTTTGACAGTGGAATAAAATATTACTGTTAGCAGAAGGCAAATATTCCAGCTGATTTTAAACAAAGTAAGAAATGCATTTTCTAAAGGGGAGTTTAGTATTCTATTTACATTTAGCTCCTTACTCATCTGAATGGGAAAGGGAATAAATGGAATGGTTCTATTAGGCTGCAAAATATAAGGGATTTATCAGAAATTTCATGTTTTAAAAAGGCAATAAAATATTTTCTATAATTTTTATGACACTGGTGTTCAGAAAAAATATGGAACATTTATGAGATAGAACTGTCTCTATTGTATAAAACCTTTGATACTTGAGGATTATGAAGCTCTTCTTCGGTACAAAGTTTTAGAAGTATTCTGGAATGTACTTTATATATAGCATGTTACCCCCAAATTTATATACTTTAATAGTTAGTAGCTATTAAATGAAATACATTTTAATAAATACTGCGTTTATAATTATTCAAAGTGTGCATATACATTTTGGGGGATATCCTGTATATTGTAGTGGAAATTAAAAACATAAAATTTAAAACTGATTCACCTTCAGTTAACATCTTTTTTTTTTGTTTGTTTGTTTTTTTGTTTTTTGTTTTTTTTTTATTGCTTAAAGTATTACAAAGGGTATTACATATGTGTCCATTTTATCCCCCCGCCCTAGACAGTCCCCTAGCCTCCCCTACCCCCCAATGTCTTATGTCCACTGGTTATGCTTATATGCATGCATACAAGTCCTTTAGTTGATCTCTTACCCCCCTACCTTCTGCCCCGCAACCCTCCCCGGCCTTCCTGCTGCAGTTTGACATCTTTCAGAGCAAGCAGACAGCTTTTGGTTGGCATGATTCTAAGAAAACACTAAGTAACACCAGTTTAGAATCAAATTGTTTTTTGTTATTTTTTGTAGTTTAGTCTTTAACTTTTATTTTTTAAAATTCTTTATTGTTTAAATTATTACATATAGTATTTCATATGTCTCCTTCCCTCCCCCCATTAACCTCTCCCAGCCACCCCTACCCCCCAGCACATGCCCTCACCTCCCTAGCGTCTGTGTCTACTGGTTATGCTTATATGCATGCACGCGAGTCCTTTGGTTGATCTCTTACTCCCCTGAAGTTTGACAGTCCGTTCCATGCTTCTCTAACTCTGAATCTATGTTTTGTTCATCAGTTTATGTTGTTCATTATATTCCACAAATGAGAGAGATCATGTGATATTTATCTTTCTCTGACTAGCTTATTTCGCTTAACATAATGCTCTCCACATCCATCCATGCAGTTGCAAATGGTAAGAGTTCCTTATTTTTTACAGAAGTGTAGTATTGCATTGTGTAAATGTACCAGGGTTTTTTTTAATACATTCATCTGCTGATGGGCACTTAGGTTGTTCCTAAATCTTAGCTATTATAAATTGTGTTGATATGAATGTAGGGGTGCATATATCCTTTCTGATTGGTGTTTCTGACTTCCTGGGATATATTCCTAGAAGTGGGATTACTGGGTCAAATGGGAGTTCCATTTTTAACTTTTTGAGGAAACTCCATACTGTTCTCCACAGTGGCTGCACCAGTCTGCATTCCCACCAGCAATGCACGAGGGTTTCTTTTTCTCCACATCCTCATCATTGTTTTGATTTTGAGCATGTTTTCATATGTCTCTTGGCCTTCTGTATGTCAACTTTCAAAAAGCGTCTATTTAATGTTCTTTGCCCATTGTTGATTGGATTGTTTAACTTCTTTTTATTAATATGTCTGAATTCCCTATAAATTTTGGAGATTAGAACCTTATCCGATATTACATTGGCAAATATGTTCTCCCATGCAGTGAGCTTTCTTGGTGTTTCATTGATGGTTTCTTTTGATGTGCAGAAGCTTTTTATTTTGATGTAGTCCCATTTGTTTATTTTCTCCTTAGTTTCCATTGCCCTAGGAGCTGTATTGGTAAAGATATTGCTATAGCATATGTCTGATATTTTTCTGCCTATGGATTCTTCTAAGATTTTTATGGTTTCATATCTTACGTTTAAGTCCTTTATCCATTTTGAGTTTATTTTTGTGTATGGTGTAAGTTGGTGTCTAGTTTCATTTTTTTTTGCATGTATCTGTCCAATTTTCCCAACACCATTATTGAAGAGACTGTCTTGACTCCATTTACGCTCTTGCCTCTTTTGTCAAATATTAATGGAGCATAAT